ATAAGATAACTTAAATATTTATGTGATTTACAGGTCACTACGTGCAAATTCTTTTTTTATTCATACATTGACATTCCAAAAGGCTGGAGACTAAAAGCATTCACTCCAGTGGTTTGGTACATCCACTGCACTGTGTTTTCCAGCTTCTTCTGTTTATGTCATTGCACCTAAATCCAGGTTAATACGCATCACCACAATCCATTAGAGGGAACCCCAGTCTCCTCCAGATTCTGGCCAGACATTCATCATCTGATTTCACTTGTTCCAAGGCCGAGCGGCAAGTCATCCATCATTGCCATGTGCTTGTTTCATTATCACCAATCTCTAATTTTCACCCTCAGAAAACATCTAGCGTCCTCTACAGCTGAGAGAGAAAGCGAAACCAGCAGCTCAGTGAATAGTGAATATTGAGCTCCCTTCCATCTTCATCTGTCAGAAAGGAGTAGTTCTACGTTCCAGACCATGTTGAGGCGCTTGCCAAAAATCAGGAGAATGCACACTGTTGAACAGGTCATGTTACAGCAGGTAAGGCACTTGGCTTTGGCCTTGTCAGTACAGATCTCATTTAGGTGTGAATCAACAGTCAGTGTCATACAGGTGTTTCTTATCTTTACTGAATCTGATAGATTAATTATACCTTTAAATGAGAAATGTTATCAGAAATTTCACGATGGCACAATATGTTTGCAAGCAGGGTGGTGTGAGCTGAAACTAGTGAAGTTGATTAATCACTAAAACAGAGCCAAGTCCAATACGTTTCTCAAGGTCAAAATGAGAGGCAGGGGATGCATAACAGAAAATAATCTCTGCAATACATTCCCCACACATAACAAAACTGAAAATACGGTATTTAAGAATATGAAAGAAGCATGTGTCCCATTTTCTCACAGGTCAGACTTGGCCTACTCTCATCATTGCTATCTCCATCTGTGGAAAGTTCCCCAACCCCTTTTTCAACCCCCACCTGCACATCTCCCTCCTTCCTTTCTTCCCCCTCTCTCTCAAGAGTGGAAAGGCCCTGGTCTCTGAGAGACTCACCGGCAGGATGCTCTATACACAGAGTAATCACAACCAGAAGCCGCGGCGAGTGTGAAAGCGGCAGATAACATCAGGTCACCCAGCGTGCAGGAGTTCACACAGAGCCCAGTGGAGGGAGCACAGTGCTGCTCCAGCCTGGTCCAGCTCTACGCTACATCCCCATTCACTGACCACACCCACTGTGCTGCAGCAGCAGGGAGCAGCAGGGTGTAGGGTTAGAAACGTTAGTTGCAGATTGAAATGCATCCATATACAAAGAAAATGTTCAGGGATTTGGGGATAGAGATTTAGGTTAATTCTAAGATAAGAACACACACCCGGACACGCACATACGCACGCGCACACACACAGTGTCCAGTATAGTAGGTCTGATTCTGTATGCAGAACTCTGACAAATTCAAATAACTTAAACTTGTCCCCTCTGGTAATGCTCAACCCCACTTGTCGTCTGTCCCCCTAGGTGGTTGTAGGTTGAAAAGGGTTGGGAGGAACGAAGGCTGTGGAGAGCAGTGACCCTGCACTGTTCCCTGTCAGACTGCTGGATTTATGGCCCATCTTCTCACTGTGGAGGGGAACTGTTTGTTTAGACAACACAAATCCTTAAAATGTCCACTTCTGACACTTGCTCACTGATGTCAGAACTGTTATACCCATGTTATACAAAGAAGGGGATTTACTGTAAATTATTTTACTCCTCTCTGAAGTTCATCAGAATTATGTATTTGCCCTTTAACCTGTTGCCTGAGAAAAGATCGCAAGGAACCAGCAGAAAGTACCATACTAGCTTATACTGGGTACTAGATAGTTCTTGAGTTGACCCTAAAGCAAAAAAAAAAAATCTGTGTGCTACTAATAGCGTTTTACTTGAATAATTGTGTGAATAAGACCACTAATCTATTAACATTAATCAAACTTTTAACACTGTGATAAAATCTAAAGTAAACACATAAATCTGGACTGAGAGCACATTTACTCCTAGCAATCCACCCAATAGGCTACCACAAGTACAAATACACACACGCTCCCTGGCACGCACGCACTCTCTCACTCACCCCCCCCCCCCCCCCCCCACCCACACACACACACACACACTCTCTAGAGATGTGATAGAGTTGTTCCTCGAAAGTTCAGCATTGGGTCAGTGTGGACATTACTCTCCTGGCCTCCCCCACACACCCAAACATAACCACACTCTCATTCCACTCCTTATGCCTCATCAACTTGACTGGAGGTAACTATAAATATCAAGATATCAGTGCTGTTGGAAAATGTTTCTTTGGGAGTGTGAAGTGAGGAATTGTGGGGTGGGGTTAGCTGGCCAGTTCCTGAACTTTTGATTTGAGTACATGTGGGAGGGTGTGTGAACAATATTCTGTGTTTCCCCGGTCTCGCGTGCCAGTTTGAATAAGCAAATGAGGTCACCTTGAGGCTTCAGACTTTCCTGTTTGTTATTTAGTTTAATGTCTTTCAATTGGCTTCTAATTAGACAGATTGGAAGTAACCTCACCCAGCCTCGTGTTATGTGCGTTATCATCCTCAGTGCATTGCCTTCAATCACCCATCCACAAAATATTCTGCAGCAAGAGCATCTATTGCATGCTAAAATATCATCCGGCAAGCTTGCTGTTCAGAGTGAGGTGCAGCAATTCCAGGACCTCAAATCAATGGCGGGCGATAACCTAAAGCTCAAGCATACAATAATTATGGAAGCAGACCACAAGAGAATGATATCTAAGTAGCATAAGCACTTCAGCTTGCATTAGGATGTAGACTTATAAAATTGAAGTGCATCCAAGATATGTTGTGAGCGTGATATTAAGCTGACCTCATACTGTATAATCATATACACACACACACATTTTCATTGCAATTCAACACCTCATTTCAACAAACTTTTGTTGGAGATTGTTTATTTACTTCAACAGGGGATTTCTGTGCTGGCAAGCATACAGTGTCAGAGGAATATAAATCAAAACAATGATTACGGTTTCAACTCTTCAACCTGCTCCAACTACTTACTGAACCGGTGGTATGGGCCAACTGCCATAAGGCATAATTATAAGTGATGGGGGGGAAAACATTATGCGGTTACTTCCGTCTTTGATGAGAGCTTCTGGGCAATATGGTTGATCTGGGCCTCTCCTGTCTGCGTCAATGGTGACACAATCACCTCACCGGGGGAAAAGGCCAAACGCGACCTGAGTTCAGGCAGTGACCGTTATAATTACTTTTCTTAAACACTATTGAGATATGAAACATTAAAATGTCCATGAACATTACAATGCACCCTGTTCCGGTGGGGTGGGGGGGGGGCAGATTATTACATGTGCAGTAGTTCCATGTGCCACTGTCATTCTCATAATGATATTATACATCACAATATAATTATGCAAGCTACTATTCACAATTGGTGTTACTTGCTGTAATATTAACAATTATAAGTCCTGAATCAACACAATGTAAACCAATTACCTGAGGGGGTATTGGAATACTGTACAAATCGTCACTGTCTCCAATATAGATAGATATTTATACATAATCTGTATTCACATTGTAACTAGCGTATGATCTGACCAGCAGAACACATGGAAATTATATTTATATGGAACCTGAAACAAACCATTTAAACTATAGGCTTCAGGGGCCTGATTTATAAACGTTGCGTACACACAAAATATGTCCAAAAACATGCATGTGCCTATTTTCACGCAAAAGTTGGCATTTATAAAAACTGAACTTGACGTGAGAATGTGCTATCCTCCCCGCACACTTTAGACCATGCATTCGCAGTTTCTAGTGGTTGAAGTCCTACATTGCAAGAAGGCAAAAGTATTATAGTAGTAAGTAGCCTTCTACAAATTGGGAATATATGATGACACTTATTCATAACAACAAAAAACAGGTAGGCCTAGCTAAATAAGATGCTATCATTTTCCATTAGTGAGAAAAGCAATGTATCTTCGCATTCTAAAATTATTCGAAATAGGTATATATTTTCTATTATTTATTTCATTTCCATTATCATTTCAGAATAAATTCCTCACCTTTTCTGACTGATGTTTCATAGGCTACTTGCAAAATAGCCTATAGGATACAAGTTAAGATAAACTACAATTTGTCCCGTCGCTCACTTAATTGTACACACTTCACAGTAGTAAACAGATAAGCTATTTCAAGTAGCCTATTTTGCTCTATGCGATCTGAAGTTTGGTTTAACAGTAGAACAGACTGTTCACAGGCTGCATCCAAGTAATGTAATGTGAAATGTCTAGTGTAGAAAATATTTAATTTATAAACATAATACATATCATAACCATTGCGAAATTAATTCCTCACCTTTTCTGGCCATGAGTTTATATTCCCGTAGTAGCCATACAACAAATTACCATGCGCATCTCACATTTAATAGGGATTATTAGTTAGAGCAAAAACTTGAAATTATAACAGCCTATGTATCCAATAGGGTGCGTGGTTTATAACATACAGTAGAATTTGACAGGTGAACAGACAGTTGATATTTTGCATTGAAGTGTGTAGGCTACCACTGTAAGTAGGCCCACTGTCTACATTTTTTCGAGTAGACAATGTTTCAGAATTCAGGGGCAGTGCAGCATATTTAGGTTCGGGAAAAAGTTAATGCAAAACATTATTGCATTTAGACGATCTGTTTACATGTCCACAAAAATGTGCAATTGTTTCTGTCTTTCAGAAAATGTCAGATACCACAAATGTCACTGCAAAATAAAACATTCTGCCAATCCCTCCAAAGACATTTGATCAAGGTCACCATTGCCATTTCCTTTAGATACTGTCTTGGCCTAATTCCAATACAGAAAATAAGGGCATTATTGTCACCATAAAAGGTGAATGATGGGCGTTTTTCAGGTGGAGTAAATGCTTGTTCACAGTTTCATGACAGGTCTGATTTATAATGGGAAACCTGCATATGAATTGCGTGTGCCAAGTTTATAAATCTCAATATTTTTGTGCTTGCAGTCTTTTCAGAAATGGCGCAGGCAGCTATTTAGTATGAAATGTACGCAATGATTATAAATTAGGCCCCCGATGACTAGTTGGCAAAGTAGAAACTGAAAACTTTGGCAGAAATTGTAGTTCTCTTCCATTTGATCACATGATTACTTGATATCACATTCGACTTGATAAATTCACTGTTGTATAAACTGCGAATTTAGAAGGCACTTCACATTTCACTATACAGTACAAAACATATAACACACACACAGAAACAAAATAACATTGTAAACATGTGTGCCGTTCCCTGTAAAATGGACCACCATCCATCACGGCATGTAGCTAGACCAGTCCTTGCTTCACCATGGAAACAGAGCATCGGGTCCCTCTCACTTGTGTGTGTGTGGACAGGCTTCGAGAGTCTCTCCTGTGGATTGCCGCTGACTGTTCTCTCGTTCAAAGAGTAAGTCACTGATTCAGTTTATGCTTTGTTTTCGATTGGTCCTCTTCAAACAAGTGTGTCTGTATAATGGAACACAATCCAACCCCCCAAGATACAGAATGTTAAGCAGGTTATTTTTTTTTAAAGATCATTGTAAACATGCATTTGGATAGGGAGTAACTAGTCTCGCCTGACCATCCTTCTTAATCCTGTCTCGACTATTGGAAGTCTGGAGAACATCAATATTGGATTTTCCTTTGAATGGGAGAGCTGGCATTCAGCGCTTGAATTTTCCCTCAGAAGAGGCATTTCCTACCGTGTCAGACAGTTTTTGTAGCCTATCCAACATTAGTTTTGCATTATAGGCTTGCTAGCTTGTTTTAAAATCAGAATCACAAACTCTGTTTGGAGCTCCACCGATGCAAAATATGCGATTGGTTTGATAAGTGGCAAACCGTCACTAGTTATACTCCACCCCTTTTTATTTTCTTCCTGAGGAGAACTTCACCTGGCTTTCGAACTACGTGAGAAGCCCGACGTCCAAAGCTAGGGGGTAACTAACCCAATATAAAGGACAGAGTTATGATCCTACCTCTGTCTCTACAATGCGGTGGTAAGCAGGACTGCGGAGCTCATCCAGTGTCTCTGCCACAGGTTTGTTGAGTGTCTCAGGGAGAAGGAGACCCAGGCAGCCAGCAGAGATCCCACTGAGACAGAATACCATGAAGGGCATAGAGGTGTGTAAGTCTCTCTGAAACACATAGAAAACAAAACACAGCATAAGCTTGAGGGGCTCAAATGAATACCATACATTCTGACAGAAGGCAAAACAACTTCTGTTTATCACAATTTGAACACTTATAGAAAGACCAAAGTGGTCCTTGTACTTGATTACAATTGTGAAAACATAAAAAGACAATGATTTTTGTCCATCATCATATTAATGATATTCTGCTGACGTACCAAAGAGGGCACGAAAGGGGCCAGGATCCCTCCGACTCTGCAAGACATTGAGCAGACCCCAAGACCAGCGTTCCTGACATCAAGACAAAGCACATAACATTATTTAAACACCTCTCCAACATACCGTACAAAAACATATTGCATTGTGAGAACTTAAATTGAAATTGACGCTCATATCACACAAGCAAAAATGGGAGAACGGCGCCCTCTACTGTACTTTATAGAAGTAATTTAGTGGGATCTGGTTGCACTGCACTCACCTTATAACAGTGGGGTACAGTTCAGTAGTGTAGACGTACACTATGTTGAAAGCCGCACTGACCAACAGCTTTCCTAACAAAGCTAAAGAGGTAGCATTGAACAATGCCCCTAAATAATAAATAACAAATAGATTAAAAAAAGTAACATAATTAATCAAATCTATCTAATATACTGTAGATGGAATGCCCTTACCAGCATTTCCAGGGATAAACATGGTGCATAGACATGACAAGCCAGCTAAACCCAGAAAGCTGGCCATGGTTTTCCTTCTCCCAGCCCTAAAAAACAGGCACAAATTCCAACTGTTTAGCACAGGTGTGATGAGAATATATAGTCTTGTGAAACTATTACGATTCAATATTTGTTCATTTTTTTTTAACCATAAGACATTTATTCAGTGCACCACTGACACTTTAATTCATAGAATATCATCACAGGTGGTGAGAATCTTACCACTGCTTGTTTATGAAATAGATACAGAGAGGGTAGGCCGGGAGCTCCACCAGTCCATACATGGCAACACTGAAGTAGCGGTTCCCACTGTCCTCACTGGCATTCATGGTCAGCCCATAGTACACCAGGCTGCAGGAATACCTAGAGCACACCCACAGACAGTGTCACTCTAAGGTTGGTTATGTTTAAAGTATTCAGTGTGAAAGGTCTTTAAAACAATGTATACTGAACCTACGCATAGTTGTGAGCTGTTGATACTGCCTGTGCACCATTAATGACATTGCAAAAAGCGAGTCCCTCTGGTTTCCCAGTGGTTCAGGTCATGGTGTGCTAACTCACCAGACATACATGAGCACCACGGTTCTCCTGCGGAGCACTGGGTGGGTGAACAGGTCGAGGAGGCCAGGGCCATTGTTGCCCTGGTTACCAGTCTTGACAGAGCCAGGACACATACGGAGCTTCACTTTGGCTGCAGCGTTGCCGTTCCCATTCCGCACGGCCATGTACCGCAAAACCTCCTCTGCCTTCTCCGTGTAACCACGGGAATACAGCCAGCGTGGAGACTCCGGGAGAGTCCTGCCTCAGCCAGAAAAACAGGAACAAGACAAAGACAAAACACAGGAGATGAAAAGGTCATCTTGCTTTTTGTTCCATCAGCAAACTGCAGTCTCACATATGCGGTAAAATGTCTTGGGAAAGGTGTCAGTCGAGGTTCTAATGCAATTGCTTTCTTGGAATAATCATCCTAAAATTAACTTACACACAAAGAAGAAAAAACAGGACGCCAGGAGAATTAGCTGCTGTTGCCAGGTTACGCCAAGGTCTGATATAGTAGCCAAGGGCACCAAACAGGGCAATTCCCACAGCAAAGGTCATATTAGTCAAGGTCCCTGAAAAACAAACACCAGAGACAACATTTAAATAGTTTGGTAAAAACTGTTTCCAATAGTCTCAGACCACTGTCTTATGTCACTGGGGGAGGGGGTTTCTCCGACTGACTCTTCTTGACTACAATTTACCCTTTGTCCAATCCTAGTCCCACCCTCCTTAGTTACTGTAGCTGTGTCTGGTAAACATTTGTCAGTGTCATGATGATTATTTGTACCTGTCATGGCCCAGTAGGACTTGCCCACATACTCCTGGGTGAGCACAAAACAGACGAGGGACATGCCCCCATTCATCAGACCCACCAGCAAGCGCGACAAAGCAAACACCTCATAGCTGGGAGCAAAGGCTGTGGCATAGCCAAACAACACCTCAAAGAACAGAGCTGAGAGAGAGAGAGAGAGAGAGAGAGAAACAGAGCAAAAAAAGTGAATGATGAGGCCTAACCATAGCTTTCTGAGATTTTTACCAGTGACTATTAGCTGGGCTGAAAAGTAGCCCGCAAGGTAGCAGGTCAGAACAACGACCTTTCCTAATGGCTGCTATATCATATCAGCCTGTCAAATATTTTATAGGATATGGATTAAGATCATTATATGAAAAGTAGTGAATCTCATTCTCGTCACCTGTTAGGAAGACTGGTTTCCTTCCAATCTTGTCAGAGAGGGGTCCAAAAAAAACATTTCCAACCAAGACCCCAGCGAAGAACAAAGAGCCTGCCAAGCTGACCTTGTAAGCCTGTTGCTTTAGAAGGAACCACTAAGAGAAAAGGAAGGAAAGAAACTGGAAGACAGCATTCATATATTTTCATTGTCTAGATTATTTTAAAATGTGTTAAATTCCATACACAGGTGTGAATGACGCTACATTGTCAAGCACGGCACATTTTTGCTCCTATTGAATCATGAACAGTGACCTCTCACCTCCGTCACGATGGAGTTGACGTCCTCTGTAAATGTAATGTGTTTGATGAGCTCCTCATGGTTGGCGTGGTCACCTTGTTCAATGTCGTATTCTGGTACAGCTCCAACGAGCACAATGAGCATGGACTGGCATGCCATATACACCTGGAAAACAAAACCAAGCTGAGTGCCAAGCAAGTGGTCCTCTGTAGCTCAGCTGGTAGAGCACGGCGCTTGTAACGCCAAGGTAGTGGGTTCGATCCCCGGGACCACCCATACACAAAAATGTATGCACGCATGACTGTAAGTCGCTTTGGATAAAAGCGTCTGCTAAATGGCATATTATTATTATTATTAAGTAATATAGGCCTATATACCCAAGGGATCTATCCATCACTGGTATTTAATTAGCTGACTCCTTTCACACAATCTGCAATTCAACAGCCTGACCTGCTCAAATCCTCTGAAATGCCTGAGATTGGCATGGTAGAGCTTGGGAGGTCAGAGGTACCAGAACGCATAAAAAAAAATAACTTTATAATAAAGCATTGAATGCCTATCAATTCATTTGCATAGTGGCATAGGGCAGTAAAGTAGCGGAACTTACAGAAGTTACACACATGGGAAACATTTTTTGTGGCCTAAGGTCGGGGATTTTTTTTGGCCATTTATAGACGCATTTCATGCAATTCTACATCATTTTACATGTCTGAAGACTTTGACATAATCTTTTTTTAATGCCGCGTTCAAAAAAAACTGGGAACACGGAGCTGGGAAATCTCCGACTTAAGTGCGTTTAAGTCAACTGGGTAATAGGGAAAATTTGTTTTGAACGGCCATCCAACTCGGAATTCCAAGTGTGGAACTCTGGCCTCTTCTAGACCTCCGACCTGAAGATAGATCACTGACGTCATGATTCGACCTCGTTTTCTTCTCCCGAGTTCCCAGTTGTCGTGAAAGCACCATAATACCGCACGAACGATCGAAATGACAAGCTACTTTGACACTGAAACTGAGATCAATGAAAACGACCTTGTCTTGAATCCATCAATAGCCTAGGCCTTGGTGTGTGGAGACATATTTATTGTACGCTACAATATGAGGAAATTATATTACTAAAAATGCTTTCCAGTTTCACTGACTCACCCAATGATGTGCAGCTCACTCGCTGGTGATGGCATATTAGTGATCGCGTTTATTATAATTTCTACATTGCAAAAAGTGACAATTATGTTTTATGCCACGAGAGGTACCGGATCCGGCCAGTCACTTAGCAGACGCTCTTATCCAGAGCGACTTACAGGAGCAATTAATGTTAAGTGCCTTGCTCAAGGGCACAGAGACAGATTTTTCACCTAGTCGGGTCGGGGATTCGAACCAGCAACCTTTCGGTTATTGGCCCAACGGTCTTAACCGCTAGGTTACCGGTTGTGAAGGAAGTTAATTTGTGTTTATACAAGTCATTCCGCCCTCACCTTCCGTCATCCAATCATGTCAATGCGGAGCTATATGAACCCCCACATTGATACAATATTTGAGAGACGCACGGCGATGCCGTATGGTGCTCAATTTGGCCTCTGCGTGCCTCCAGATGCTTCGCAATTGCGTCACACCACCCAGCGACCACATTTTCTGATCAAGCATAAATTGGCTCTTAGATCTTGGGTTATAGGATAAGACCGTTGTCATATGGCATTTATAAGTTATATTCTTCAAGAACTGAGTATAATTAATTGAAATGGCCATTGAACAGCAGGAAATATTGCAGACTGTGGCTTTAATGCGTATGCAAATGACGGGAGAGATAGCTAGCTAAGATTCAGCAAGCTACTTAAAAGCGTCTGTGATTTCATTATCCAGTTAACTAACTAGCTTAGCTATGGCTGGATAACAATAGCAGCGACAGACTACTAGCTGGCTTGCCCCACACTAAGTTTGACGACATACTGTAATGTATTCAGAAAATTGTTCTAGAAAATATAGCAATGTATTAGATTGCTAGCTAATACAGCTAGCTTAGCTAGCTAGATGTGGGTGGCATACGTTTCCACCAAAGCAAGGAACGTTAATAAAACAAACCTGTAGCAACACAAGAACCAACACCATCTGCTTCTGATATGATCCGAATTCTCCGACTAATTGAAATGCCTCTTCTAAATCCATTCCAAGAGGAAACAATATTCAAGCACATCACACCAATTTGACGGACTGCGCAAACATCATTTCGCAAACGTGGATTACTATCACATGTTATCATATAGGAAAGTGGATTGGTCAAGGAGACTACTCAGGAAACGGCGCATGCGCAGCAGTAACTAATTGGGCGAATTCGTTTTGAACGAATCGGGCAGATGGAATGGTATGACTTTGTGGCTGTGTTAAGCACTTGAGGTATGGTTATGATTATTTTTGTATAAGCATTTTCGTTTTTAATTTCATTTAATTAATAACGTTTTTGTTTGACAAAATCATTGTCACGTGGTTAATCATAAAAATCTAAAAGGTAAAATTCATCTAAGGCAAGAGCACCAGCCTCTGCCATACGGACACATTGAAACACTGTGATCTATTGGAGGCCCACCTGTTTTGAGCCCCACCTGTTTAGCTGTTTGTTTTTTGCATGTTATTTTGACATTAATACGTGTCACATATCACTTTGTAAACAATGTACAAAAACAATATAAAAACAACTAATTGAGTTAATAAAGCCGCATACAAACTTGGTTTCTTTTTTTGCTTCCTTGAGTAAGGCAGCTCCAAAATGCTGGTGTTTCAGCCTAGCTCAGTGCTTTCTGTGGTGGTGGGGCAACCAGCGGAAAATACTGAGCGAAGGGGTTGGTAATGTTCTCTAGTTGCGCCGTGATTGGCTCAGTGTTCTGTCACTCATGGGGACACTACATCACCGCAAAATCTAAAGGTAGAACTAGAAAATTCAAGCCCCTTGGGTGCTGCCATAGAGTTACATTAGAAGTGCCCATCCAAGAAGGCTCAAGGTCATTGGCCACAGATAAAATTATGTCAAATCACGTTATATCTACAGTAGCTTTGATTGGACTGATCATGTCAACATCATACTTTCAAAATCTTAGCTAGCAAGCTAGCAGGCATCATCATGAATCAAGTTGACAATCTACTGGAAAATCCTTTTCAATCCTTGTCATATGAAGAGAAATAATGAAGAGACATTATAGATCAAACGTATCGGTGATCATCGGCCATTTGACATAAACATTACACAACAAGTTGGAAATCGCAAATTCAACAATGAGTGGTTTGGAAGGAATCAGTGGCTACCTGCAAGCATTGCAAAGCAATCACTAGCCTGCTATTCAGTGGAGTGGGTGTGTGGTCCCAAGTCTGGGTTTAAGGGTCTATTTTCCAAGCTTAAAAGGATAAATATTCAACATTGGCCATGCTGTCAATCCAGCATGACTTCTGCCGCGCTCAAAACACCTGGAAAGTCAGAACTGGGAAATCTGACTTCAGTGAGTTCAAGACAACTGGGAACTCTGAAAAGAAATTAGCTCAGACTGGGAAAATACGTTTTGAACGGTCATCCAACTCAGAATTGCAAGTCGGGAACTCGGCCCTCTTTCTAGAGCTCCGACCTGAAGATCACTGACGTCATCATGATTCGACCTCGTTTTTCTCTGAGTTCACAGTTGTCTTGAAAGCACCATAAATCCAGAGAATGCCAGACTTTGATGACTAAGTTTGATGACAAAATTTGCCCACGAAGGACCGCCGCGCCACCCTCCTGTTCAAGTGAGCACAGCACAACAAGGTGAGTCCAAAAATGCTGCTGCATAAATGATGTAATATGCCAGGGAGATATGTATACTGTCTGTAGCTAAGAAAGTAATACTAAGTGTATGTTGTGTAGTAAGCTGTTAGTAGCCCATGTGCCACACCCTAATAATTTGGTCACTTTTCCCCTGATAATTTCACCTACTGTTCTAACTTGGTGGTGCACATGTAGCCTATAGCCTGTTTTAGAGAAATGTAATCATCGAATATTGTAAGAGCTTTCATTGTCTGCTTATAGGCCCCCTTTATTTATCCTACGGTACTGACTTGGTGTTCAAGTACAGGGAGAATACTGTAAGAACGGCCCATGTTCTGAATTATGTCGCAGTACATTTCAAAAGTGCTGAACAAATAGTTAAATTGACTACGTCCGTCCTAGCTCGCTCATTAATGTCTTAATCGAAATTATGGATTGCCTCTTATCCGCTCGTTGTCCCCTAATGCCATAGTTTGTATATCTCAATTGTCAGTAGAATCTACATTTGTTTACATTTACATTTACATTTAAGTCATTTAGCAGACGCTCTTATCCAGAGCGACTTACAGGAGCAATTAGGGTTAAGTGCCTTGCTCAAGGGCACATTTACGTCATTTAGCAGACGCTCTAGTCCAGAGCGACTCACAAATTGATGCATTCACCTTATAGCCAGTGGGATAACCACTTTACAATTTTTTTTTTGGGGGGGGGGGGGGGGGGGGGGGGGGGGGGGGGGGGGGGGGGGGGTAGAAGGATTACTTTATCCTATCCCAGGTATTCCTTAAAGAGGTGGGGTTTCAAATGTCTCCGGAAGGTGGTGAGCGACTCCGCTGTGTGTGTGGGGGGGGGAGTCAGCCATATCAGCTATGTTTTTTTAAGCAAGTCAGCCATATCAGCTATGTTTTTTTAAAAGGCTGAATTAACTGTTTCGCTGCCAGACGAGGCTCCGCTGATAGCCATTTGTAGCAGTGGTAAGGTGTTGGGACTGCTGTTGGGACTGTGCTGTAGGAACAGTTTTACGTAGGCCCTAACAGTTTGTGGGCACCGTTTGTCACCATTATAGCACAATTCATGTCTTGTTTAGTGTTGTTAGTGGCTTTGCTGGCATGCATCACTTTTTTTTTTTTTTTTAGTTTGCCCCACCAAGATTTACACGCTATAATCGGCACTGGAAACCAGGCACATAATCATTTCTCACATGGAGCACTCTAAACTATTACTATTGTTATATATATGTTTTACTCGTAATGGTTATGTAATAAACCAAAACCAAAAGTGTAGCAGGTTGTGAATTCCACAAACAACGTTTACAGTCTGAGAATGAGAATGGTAAATTACTGTAATTAATACATGCATTAACATAAATGAATGTAACCAAATAACGGGGGATTAACAGTACATTTACTAGGCCTACTAATGACATACAGTACCAGTCAAAAGTTTGGACACACCTACTCATTCAAGTTGTTTTTTTTTTTTTACTATTTTCTACATTGTAGAATAATAATGAAGACATCAAAACTATGAAATAACACATATGGAATCATATGGTTTGGGATGAGTAACCAAAGATGAGTAACCAAAGAAGTGTTAAACAAGTCAAAATACACTTTAGATTTTAGATTCTTCAAAGTAGCCACCCTTTGCCTTGATGACAGATTTGCACACTCTTGGCATTCTCTCAACCAGCTTCATGAGGTAGTCACCTGGAATGCATTTCAATTAACAGGTGTGCCTTGTTAAAAGTTAATTTGTGGAATTTCTTTCCTTCTTAATGCGTTTGAGCCAATCAGGTGTGTTGTGACAAGGTAGGGGTGGTATACAGAAGATAGCCCTATTTGGTAAAACACCAAGTCCATATTATGGCAAGAACAGCTCAAATAAGCAAAGAGAAACGACATTCCATCATTGCTTGAAGACATGAAGGTCAGTCAATGCGGAACATTTCAAGAACTTTGAAAGTTTCTTCAAGTGCAGTAGCAAAAACCATCAAGCGCTATGATGAAACTGGCTCTCATGAGGACCGCCACAGGAAAGGAAGACCCAGAGTTTCCTCTGCTGCAGAGGATAAGTTCATTAGTTACCAGCCTCAGAAATTGCAGCCCAAATAAATGCTTCACAGAGTTCAAGTAACAGACACATCTCAACATCAACTGTTCAGAGGAGACCGCGTGAATCAGGCCTTCATGGTCGAATTGCTGCAAAGAAACCACTACTAAAGGACACCAATAAGAAGAAGACTTGCTTGGGCCAAGAAATACGAGCACTGGACATTAGACCGGTGGAAATCTGTCCTTTGGTCTGACATTTTTGGTTCCAACCGCTGTGTGAGACGCAGAGTAGGTGAACAGATTATCTCTACATGTGTGGTTCCCACCGTGAAGCATGGATGAGGAAGTGTTATGGTGTGGGGGTGCTTTGCTGGTGACACTGTCGGTGATTTATTTAGAATTCAAGGCACACTTAACCAGCATGACTACCACAGCATTCTGCAGAGATACAGCATCCCATCTGGTTTGCGCTTAGTGGGACTATCATTTGTTTTTCAACAGGACAATAACCCAACACACCTCCAGGCTGTGTAAGGGCTATTTGACCAAGAAGGAGAGTGATGGAGTGCGGCATCAGATGACCTGGCCTCCACAATGACCCGACCTCAACCCAACTGAGATGGTTTGGGATGAGTTGGACCACAGAGTGAAGTAAAAGCAGCCAACAAGTGCTCAGCATATGTGGGAACTCCTTGAAGACTGTTGGAAAAACATTCCAGGTAAAGCTGGTTGAGAGAATGCCAAGAGTGTACAAAGCTGTCATCAAGGCAAAGGGTGGGTACTTTGAAGAATCTCAAATATAAAATATATTTTGATTTGTTTAACACTTTTTTGGTAACTACATGATTCCATATGTGTTATTTCATAGTTTTGATGTCTTCACTATTATTCTACAATGTAGAAAATAGTAAAAAATAACGAAAAGCCCTTGAATGAGTAGGTGTGTCCAAACTTTTGACTGGTACTGTATGTAACAGTGATTTTATTTTTAAAAAAATAACTATCAAAGGGCAAACAATTCAGACCCTTTGCTATGAGACTCGAAATCGAGCTCAGGTGCATCCTGTTTCCATTGATCATCCTTGAGATGTTTCTACAACTTGACTGGAGTCCACCTGTGGTAAATTCAATTGATTGGACATGATTTGGAAAGGCACACACCTGTCTATATAAGGTCCCACAGTTGACAGTGCATGTCAGAGCAAAAACCAAGCCATAAAGTCGAAGGAATTGTCCGTAAAGCTCAGAGACAGGATTGTGTCGAGGCACAGATCTGGGGAAGGGTACCAAAAAATTTCTTCAGCATTGAAGGTCCCTAAGAACACAGTGGTCTCCATCACTCTTAAATAGAAAAAGTTTGGAACCACCAAGATTCTTGCTAGAGCTGGCCGCCTGGCCAAACTGAGCAATCAGAGGGGAAGGGCCTTGGTCAGGGAGGTGACCAAGAACCCAATGGTCAATCTGACAGAGCTCCAGAGTTCCTCTGTGGAGATAGGAGAAACTTCCAGAAGGACAACCATCTCTGCAGCACTCCACCAATCAGGCCTTTATGGTAGATTGGCCAGACGGAAGCCACTCTTCAGTAAAAGGCACATGACAGCCCGCTTGGAGTTTGCCAAAAGGCACCTAAAGGACTCTTAGACCATGAGAAACAAGATTCTCTGGTCTGATGAAACCAAGATTGAACTCTTTGGCCTGAATACCAAGCGTCACGTCTGGAGGAAACCTGGCACCATCCCTACGGTGAAGCATGGTGGTGGCAGCATCATACTATGGGGATGATTTTCAGCAGCAGGGACTGGGAGACTAGTCAGGATCGAGGGAAAGATGAACGGAGCGAGAGATCCTTGATGAAAACCTGCTCCAAAGCGCTCAGCACCTCAGACTGGGGCAAAGGTTCATCTTCCAACAGGACAACGACCCTAAGCACACAGTCAAGACAATGCAGAATTTGGCAGTACGTCCAACCGTTCTCACAACCGCAGACTATGTGTATGGCGTCGTGCCCCATGGTGGGGTTATGGTATGGGCAGGCATAAGCTACGGACAACGAACTCAGCAATTTGAATGCAGAGATGCCATGACAAGATCCTGAGGCCCATTGTCATGCCATTCACCCGCTGCCATCACCTCATGTTTCAGTATGATAATGCACAACCCAATGTCACAAGGATCTGTACACAATTCATGGAAGCTGGAAATATGTCCCAGTTCTTCCATGGCCTGCATACTCACCAGACGTCACCCATTGAGCATGTTTGGGATACTCTGGATCGACGTGTACGTCAGCGTGTTCCAGTTCCCACCAATATCCAGCAACATCGCATCGCCATTCAAGAGGAGTGTGACAACATTCCACAGGTCACAATCAAAAGCCTTATCAACTCTATGCAAAGGACATGTCGCGCTGCATGAGGCAAATGGTGGTCACACCAGATACTAACTGGTTTTCTGATCCACGACCCTACCTTTTATAAAAAGGTTTGTGACCAACAGATGCATATCTGTATTCCCAGTCATGTGAAATTCATAGTTTAGGGCCTAATAAATGTATTTCAATTGACTGATTTCCTTATATGAACTGTAACTCAGTAAAATCTTTGAAATTGTTGCATGTTGCGTTTATATTTTTGTTCAGTATATATACAGTGAGGGAAACAAGTATTTGATCCCCTGCTGATTTTGTACGTTTGCACTCTGACAAAGACATGATCAGTCTATAGTTTTAATGGTAGGTTTATTTGAACAGTGAGAGACAGAATAACAACAAAGAAATCCAGAAAAACGCATGTCAAAAATGTTATGAATTAATTTTCATTTTAATGAGGGAAATAAGTATTTGACCCCTCTGCAAAACATGACTTAGTACTTGGTGGCAAAACCCTTGTTGGCAATCACAGAGGTCAGACGTTTCTTTTAGTTGGCCACCAGGTTTGCACACATCTCAGGAGGGATTTTGTCCCACTTTGCAGATCTTCTCCAAGTCATTAAGGTTTCGAGGCTGACGTTTGGCAACTCGAACCTTCAGCTCCCTCCACAGATTTTCTATGGGATTAAGGTCTGGAGACTGGCTAGGCCACTCCAGGACCTTAATGTGCTTCTTCTTGAGCCACTCCTTTGTTGCCTTGGCTGTGTGTTTTGGGTTATTGTCATGCTGGAATACCCATCCACGACCCATTTTCAATGCCCTGGCTGAGGGAAGGAGGTTCTCACCCAAGATTTGACGGTACATGGCCCCGTCCATCGTCCCTTTGATGCGGTGAAGTTGTCCTGTCCCCTTAGCAGAAAAACACCCCCAAAGCATAATGTTTCCACCTCCATGTTTGACGGTGGGGATGGTGTTCTTGGGGTCATAGGCAGCATTCCTCCTCCTCCAAACACGGCGAGTTGAGTTGATGCCAAAGAGCTCGATTTTGGTCTCATCTGACCACATCACTTTCACCCAGTTCTCCTCTGAATCATTCAGATGTTCATTGGCAAACTTCAGACGGGCCTGTATATGTGCTTTCTTGAGCAGGGGGACCTTGCGGGCGCTGCAGGATTTCAGTCCTTCACGGCGTAGTGTGTTACCAATTGTTTTCTTGGTGACTATGGTCCCAGCTGCCTTGAGATCATTGACAAGATCCTCCCATGTAGTTCTGGGCTGATTCCTCACCGTTCTCATGATCATTGCAACTCCACGAGGTGAGATCTTGCATGGAGCCCCAGGCCGAGGGAGATTGACAGTTCTTTTGTGTTTCTTCCATTTGCGAATAATCGCACCAACTGTTGTCACCTTCTCACCAAGCTGCTTGGCGATGGTCTTGTAGCCCATTCCAGCCTTGTGTAGGTCTACAAACTTGTCCCTGACATCCTTGGAGAGCTCTTTGGTCTTGGCCATGGTGGAGAGTTTGGAATCTGATTGATTGATTGCTTCTGTGGACAGGTGTATTTTATACAGGTAACAAACTGAGATTAGGAGCACTCCCTTTAAGAGTGTGCTCCTAATCTCAGCTCGTTACTTGTATGAAAGACACCTGGGAGCCAGAAATCTTTCTGATTGAGAGGGGGTCAAATACTTATTTCCTTCATTAAAATGCAAATCAATTTATAACATTTTTGACATGCGTTTTTCTGAATTTTTTTGTTGTTATTGTCTCTTACTGTTCAAATAAACCTACCATTAAAATTGTAGACTGATCATTTCTTTGTCAGTGGGCAAATGTACAAAATCAGCAGGGGATCAAATACTTTTTTCCCTCACTGTAAGTAAAAAAATTAAATAAAGGTATACAGTATATATTATATATACAGTATGTAATATATATGCATTTGTTTTACTGCAACCGCCAACCACAGGATTCAGGATCACGCTCTCAATGAGTGTAGACAGGCTGCTGCTGCCGCTCTGCTAATCTTTATATTGGGGAGGAGAGGAGGTAGAGGGCACATGTGGGTAACTGGGGGTGCCCTGCCTTGTTTGAGTAAGTGATTAATAAAACAAACTGTATGATAATTAAACGTGACTGGTCACTTGTGTGAGTCAGGGGCTCAAGCCCATAGGGGACCCATGAGGCAAGAAAATATCCAACCACAGGAGCCCGCTCTCAATGTTCAAAATACACCAGAGAGCATAGTTTGGCCACAGAGGATCAATCGTTTTTTTATTTTAATTTTTATACCTGTGGATAAAATCTTATCACAAGCACATAAAGGTAACTGCCAAAATAAAGGAAACATCAATATAGTGTCTTAAAAGGGTGTTTTGCCACCACAGTTGCAATGCACCTTGGCATACATTCTACAAGTGGACCAAAACCATGTCAGGAAAATGCACCCCAAACCATATTATTTGTATCTGTCATTTACTCAAGTGTTTCCTTTATTTTGGCAGTTACCGGTTGCCTACAGTCGGGAAGGCCGCAATTTGGCTGGCATGCACACAAAATATACAGCTTGTTGCGTCAAGTGGCCATAGACATATAATCCATAGAAGGGTTTGGAACCTCTTACCATGGCAATTTGACTCAAACGCATGGGTACACTAGCAATGTCTGCCAGTCCTGAATTGAATGGGAACTGCCATCTATGGATTACATTTCTATGGTCGGTTGCGGTTGTCTGTTTGCATTTTGCAAATTTCAAAATACAATAGCGAGAAAAACTTAGTTTGGAAAGCAATGCCTACTGCTGAAAAAGAGAAGACTAATCGGTCTGTAGAACCAATATATAAAAATTCTCACAACTCCCAATTTTTGGCGAACAGCAACACTGTTTTTCAAAGTAGCTCATCTTGAGATAGGCTATTACCAAGAAGAGCGCATCGGCCATCACCGTGAGTAGTAGCATATAGCTTCATTAGGAGAGAGTCAGTGTGCCACTAAATTGTATTTAGTAACCTACTGTAGCCTATAATATCCTGTAGATATTGCCTCCTAATATTGTACAATCAGTGTGTCGCTTCATTGCCCTGGGCTATTGTTTGAATTGAAGACCAGATCGATCTCAGTGTGTCAGTGTCAAAGTAGCCACTCATTTCGGTCATTTGTGTGGTATTAAAAAAAGATTATAATGTCTTCTATCATGTAAATTATGTAGAAACAAAATAGGCTTACAAGAAGCACTAGTTTGTTAACACCACCTGCTTTAAGTTGCGAACCAAACAGTTATTTACAAAGATCTAAATACATATTCCCATGAAACTGATTGAGATCAAATAATTGGCATGCAGTTTGACATTTCACATTTCATATTCTTCCAATAATGGGCTTGTAGTGCAGTCCAATAACTGAAACGAAGAAAGTGTTGTAAATTTCAGTCAGAGGACGCCGACATCTTTAAAAATATGTTTAATATTAGTTTTACACATACAAAAGAACATTACAATTAAAAATGTTTTCTAGCTCATTCACGTCAGTCAATCCTTTTTAAACAGCATAATGCAAAACATTAAAAATACATTACCAACATAGAACAGATTAAGAGAATAGTAAACTCAAAAGACAGGAAAAATATTAAATAGTTAAGAAATGTAAAAGGAAAGTCACATTCTACTAGTTCTGACACCTGAGTGGTAATTTGGACCTGGGTGGCGTATCGTGAGTTTCATTTTCTGCCATCTTGGAACGATTGAGGAGTTTGTTTTCCTTCTTGCCGGCCTTCTTTTGCTGAAAGGAGAGAAAACGTTACAATCAAACAAAGCCATAGCTGGGACTAGGAGCGAGATAGTACTTAAACAAAGAAACACTGGGGTAATCTTACCTTGAAGAACGGCACTCTTCCATTCTCATAGCACATTAGGTTTTCGCCGATGTAAGATGGCTCAGTGACATAGCTGTCGTTGTAGCTGCTCAACTCGTCCTCCAGAGAGTCCTATGGCAACATAGATGTCATTAGGTCATAACATCTATTCCATACACTGAACTTCACCCTTTCCAATGTTATTAATGCCTGTTACATGCTAAACAGTCAAGATCAGTCAGCATTCAGTCAGTGTATACAGTTCCCTTAATGTAATCATGACACTAATCTGCGATACTGCCAAGAATTGGGCTCTGTGTACCTGATCGACCTGCTTCTCCTCCTCTACTGTGTCACACTGGAACAGGGCTGCCTGCAGCTCCTCCTGCTGGTGGCGGAGGCTGTCCAGCAGTTCTGATCTGCTCTTCGACTTGGCCAAGAGACGTGGGTACACAAACTCTCTCCTCTGAGGAGTTGCACCTACCAGAACAAATAGAAGGAAACATGAGGTCAGTGACTCAGTCTATACATGTAGAAGAAAAAAGCCAATTTAACATTTTAGTTGGCATTACATCCACGTCAGTCTCACCAGTTGGGACATCCTGTTTGAGCTCCTCGCTCAGGAAGCTGTGGACAAGGCCCAGGCCATCCTCCATGTGGGCCTTGAGTTCTATGTGGTGGTGTTCCAGAGTGTTCTGATCCAGTGATGTCTGCTCCTTCAAGGCCCCCAGACCCTCCTCCACCATCCCCTGCTGCTGCTTCAGCTGCCCACTCACCTCCTGGACCCTCTCCTCACAGCTCTGCTCCACTCTCTGATTCACACCACAGAAACACCGGTCAGTTATGATGAATAACGACATGTAATGAGCTGCTCAGGGATTGCGAAGCTAACCATTTTTGTAAAACTGAACAGTGTAGTACCAGTCTACTAATATTTTTTGGCACTGAGCAAATCTCAGGTCTGCGGAGCGCAAATTTGAACCTTGTGAAATTTCTGTGCAACTTCCGGCGCGTGTTTACTGTGAACACAGAGGCTGTACCCAGCTTTAATTTACTGTTTCAGTGGACAAGGAGCCTACTGTGACTATTTGATCATAATGTAGGCCTACCATAAACAAAACAATGGAGAAAATGCATCACGTAACATTTTAACATGGAAATAGCAGTTCTATCATTCAGCCTACACTAGCAGTCAATGTGTGGTGTTCAATGTAGGCCTACATTCCATTACTTTTGAAAAATAAAAAAAACATGAAGGGCTTGACATTAACCCATTCATCCACTTGTCCTTCAGACAAGGAGGGGACTGAACATTGTTGTGTTTGATGCAAGAAACCACTTTACAAGATCAAATGCATCATTATTCCCAATTTATGCTACCCTCTGCCTATTGGCTACTCAAAGTAAATACAACACTTCCCCTTTAAGACAAAGAAAAGCTCTTTACCTGACTCACTTTTCAAAGATGGCTAGAAATGTACACGTTTTGTGCTCTTGTAGGAAGCAATCACTCCCACATTGCGGACTACAAATTTGCTATAACTGGGCTAATAACGCACTAACTAGCAAAGAATGAACAAATGTGCACACGTGGCTACATGCAGTGCTCGCTTTGATCTCAAAATAAGCGCATAATAATCGCGACCACTCATGCTGTTAAACAGTCCAGTTCAAAGTGAATGGCACAAATCCATATATGGCAATTGTCTTTTTGCACATAGGCCTACTGCAGTTCTGATTGGTCATGGCGCACCGGTCTGTGTAGAGCATGGGCTGGAGTCATGCCTGTCAATGCAATAGAACACCTACTCCGAAGCGCTCTGCCTACAACAACATCTCTTGCATTGGGTTTTTTGCATACTAAGTCTCCATAGTTTGTTTTGTTTCAGTATGTTGCATTGAAAGTGGCTAATATTGCATTGATTTTATCACAATTCCCACAGTAAAAGGGAAACATTGATAGTGTTAACTAACGGGGAAAAGTCTAGAAAGTTGAGTGAAGTTCAATCTCGTGCTTCTCTACACAGGCTGATTTTTCTGCTGTGCGGCAGTCCCTGGGGAGGGAACATTGCCAGACAGTATCCGGAGCGTGAGGTCTAGGGCTGTCCCAGACAATAAATAAATAAATAAAATCTTGGTCGACCGAAAGTCGTCCGTTCGTTCTACCAATCGGGAAAAAAAGCCCTAATGAGGTCTGATAGAAACTGTATCTGAGCCTGTTGGTATCCAACAAGCCATCAGACTGCTGAACACTTGAACTGGACTGACCTGCACAGACTCTCCAAACCTTAGCGCACTCATACAGTACATTCATGCTACACACAACTGCGCTACCAGACTTAATGATTGCTAAATACTGCACAATTTAAAAACACTTCCCCCCAATCCCTGCCTTCCCCAAAACACATGTAAATATTGGACTATAAATTGTGCCTTCCTGTATTATACTTATGCTAAAACGTTTATTCTATTCTACGAGGTTAGTTACTTTGTTCATATTCTTATATTTTATCATTTACCATTGTCGAGAAAGAACCTGCAAGTTTTCGTTAGATGGTGTATACCGCTTGTATCCCATACATACAACTAATGAAACTACCAGTATCCCGTACATACAACTAATGGAACTTGAAACTACCAGCCCAAGAAAAATTGTCAAACAAAAAAAAGAAATGTTAGTACTCCATTTCATAAAGTACCACCAAGTACCTGTTTAAGGTAAAACTGCACAATATTCCATCGGAGTGTATAGTTCACCTGTAGCAGGGTCTGAGCAGAGGCTGTGTTCTCTCTCATCACGGTGAGCTGAGCCTGGGCCTGGGAGTCAGTGCTGTCCTTGGTGGAGGCACACCATTGCAGACTCCTCTCACCCAGCTGGGTAAGAGAGCTGTGCAGGTGGCTGCAGTAGGCAGAGCACTCCTCCACTGTGCGCTGGGCCTCCTGGGCAGTCTGCTGGACCTCAGAGATCAGGCTGGCGGTGGTAGACTCTAGACACTCCTTTTGGGTTGCGGTTTGGTTCTCAGCTGCACTGCATCTCCTGAAAGAGGGAATCAAAGGAGTTAGAGGCTATGCACTGGCAAACATCTCAGGTGAAAAGAGTAATATGCAGATTCAATGGACAAAGCCAACACCATGGACAGATAAATCATGTCACATTAGGTCAATGGCCCAGTTGCACTTACGTTTGCAGCGTCTGCTGAAGGGACTGGACAGGGACCTGCAGGGCGTCGGAGGCACTCATCAGGCCGGCGTAGTTATTCTGGGTCTCCATGGCTAGGAGGTTGAGCTGGTTCTGCAGACACTGGATCACTTGAGTCATGCCCTGTAGGACCAGAAACAGAGGTGATGTCACAAGGTCAGATAGAAAAGCACACTTGTTGACCAAACAGCCTCGATAGTGAGAATAACAGGGTTTTTTCATCAACATCCAGATGTCTAACAGGGACTGGACTAATTGAATAAAAGCAGAGTAGACATTGCAAGAGGAACACTATCGTGCATCACAAGGTGTAGTATTACATTGACATCTTGTTATTTCAGATCATTGCAGAGGGTGATAACAGAAGACACTTTATAGACTACTCCAAGTCGATCCCAGGCCGTACCGTCTGGTGCTCCTTGTCTGCTCTGCTGATCTGTTCCTTCAGGTTGTCATGCTCAGTCTTTAGGGAGCCGAGACCTTCTGTGGCAGTCTCCCTCAGGGCAGCCAGGTCCTGAGCATGGCCACTGAAGAACGATGTCATCTCCACTTTCATGGACTCCATCTGGGAAAAAGGAAGGCATTAATTAAATTGTCCAACACATACGCAAAATATTTGGAGTATATTAAATGCATTATTTCAGCCAGCTTCCCTTACCTTAGCTGCCAGGGCATGGTGGCTCACCAGTGTCTTATTCAGGCTGTCATTCATGGCCATGATGGCACTGAGACCAGGCAACATCTGGGCCACCAGGACCTCCTCAAGCTCCAGTTTATGCTCCTCCTGTTAAAACAGGATTGTATTTATCAAGACATATCTCACATATCTCTTTATACAGATGTGTGCACAAAGAGGCGGGAGAGACAGAAAAAACACAGGAAGAGAACAGACATGGCTTAATTTCTATCCTTACCAAAACCTGGTGCAGAGTGTTTTTGGCCTCCACACACAGAGTCTCCTGCTCCATCATCTTAGCCTGGCACTTGGTCATGCCGTCAGCAAACAGGTGGTCGATGCCGCAGAAGGACGTGGCTACAGTTGCCATGGCACCTTTGAAAGCTTTGTCGTTGACTGTAAGAAGACCCTCTGAGGGAGCAAAAGACATTCAATTAGATATTAATTCCTATGATGCGCTCATATCACTCTTATAAACTTCCAGTCCATTTTAAGCTCCTCACCAACTGAGGTTTTGTATGAGTCCAGCATGCTCTGGTGCTTGGTGCGCTGGTCTTCCACAGAGTTCTGCATCTGGCTGAACATAGCATCCATGTGGTCAGCAAAACTAATCTGGATCTCAGAGTTGTGCTCCTCAACTTTCTTCTTCCTCTCCAGCTTGGCATGCAGGCCAGATACGTCTTTGGTGCTCACATCAACAGTTGTCAGCAACTGGAGAAAAAAAAACGTTAAATCATAAAACAGACAAAATCAGTCATTTTAATATACAGTACATTCTCAAAGATGCCATTTTAGTCATTTGGAAGACACTATTATCCAGAGTGAATTACAGCAGTGAGTGCATACATTTTCGTACTGGCTGTAATGTCACCCTAACCTTGTCTGCAGTGGTGTACAGTTTCTCCTCGGTGGAGGCCAGCTCAGACACTATAAACTCCTCCTCAGTGAGCTTCTGCTTGGTCTCCTGCAGGTCCTTGTGAGTCTCCTCCAGCTTATGGTTCTTCTCCTCCAGATCATTGGTGCACTGGTCCAGCTTCTCCTTGCTATCCTCAAACAGCTCTGTGACCTGGGAAGGAGGGACGGTTACAACATTTTTGGATTAGTCATGTGGAGCCAGTAGCCACTGTGCAGCTCATCCAAAAACAGGGAGTAAAATATGACTAATTTTGAAATATGCTTACCCTCTTCAGTTCCTCCTCTACTGCTGCAATCTTCTCGGTGTATTCTGTTATATGCTCCTCTTGGGAAGATATCGCACCTGCCATGCTCCTGAGGGTTGATCAATTATAATCTCCTATACTTTGTCCTTTTGAAGTGAATACCTTCCAATACAGATTTGAGTAAAAACGTTTGATTCATAAACAAAATATTTGTGTGTTGTACAATGGGCACTTACTCATAGTTCTCAGACGACAGATACACTCCATTCTTGTCACGAGTGGCAGCCAAATCCCGTTTTAGACGCTCAATTTCCTCTGTGTATTCCTGATGATGAAATGCAATATTTTAGTCAGGACATTTTACCACAAATAAAATATTATTCAAAACATACATGAAGTAAACAGAGCATAGTCCAAATTTCAATTTAGAGTTTTAGTTCTTATATTTACCTTGATAAGAGTTCTCTTTGTCAACTTCTGGTTCACCTCAGGCTTGTTCATGATGTTCTTGGCCCTGTTGGCATATTCCAGTGTGCTCAGAGTTTCCTGGGGATTTCACGAAATGAAAAGTTAGAGTATCGAGGCATTGATAAAAACTAGGCATCAATCTAGACACTGGTGCCAAGAGACAATACGACAGCCAGACACACCTCCAGGTTAATAGAGGCTGGGGAAACGGTGGCGATGATGGAGGTCTTGGTGCGGCCTCCCAGTGAGTCCTGGAGGATACGGGTGAGTTTGGACTCCCTGTAGGGCACGTGGGGCCTCTTCTCCACCAGTGCAGTGATCACCCTGCCCAGTGTCAGCAGAGACTGGTTGATGTTTCCAGCCTCCCGCGCCCGCTTGTCCACAGCCCCCGATCGGCCGATGTTTTCACTGCCAGCAAGGTCCACCTACAAGGTGAGGTCACGTTAGCGAAAATTCCTGATGGGCATCACAAGCAGGTGCACAAACAGGACAAATGTGTTATCCTTCTTTGTAAGTCACTGGTAGAGGATGTGACAATGGTATTTGTAGGTAATACCGGTTAACCATACCAAATTCAGTTTTCCAATCTTCACCAGTTCCTCTCCTTCAACAGTAATCTCCTTCATATGAATCGTGACGGAGAACACCGAGTGAGAGCGGCTGAAAAACAAAAAGGGGCAGATCAATACTCAACTATTCAAACACTATAACGCCTTGGGCTTTGATATGAGACGTGTAGCTGGTCAGACATGCAGGTTTACCTGGAGTAGGCATTCATGAGAGTGGAGGCAGTTTTTCTCTTGGCGGATCCACGCTCCAGAATCTGGTAAACCTCATTTTTGTTGTGTACCGTGATTTCCTCCAGGCCCTTGATGATAACACCCCTCTGATGGACAGAAAGTACATTTAAACCTCATAACAAGGTTAAGAACATCACCCCATTGGTGGAATAACAGGTTGTCTGGGGAAACAGCAGTGACGTGTTGACACTTGTGGAATTCAACTAATTAGGAACGTACATAAATGTGAGTGAGTAGTACCTTATTACGTGGATCATCAAACAACTGAAGGCGTTCAGTGACATCAGGACACGGACTCAGCAGGTCAAACAACTCTTCATTGTAGATCTCCAGCAAGGAAACCTTGACAGAAAACTCTGTCCCATTGTCAGACAGTTTCTCAAATATCTGATGGAGTGTCCGGGGAATGATACCAGCAAGAGGGTCCTGAAAGAGTCCATTTAAAATCACACATTAGTACACATACTGGAGGAAATTAATAAGTCAATTGACAGATCTGATTATTATATACCTCTTCCCATGTAAATTCTTCATTTGGAGATCTTTCTCCTTCCATTGTGAAGGTCTTTCCTGTTCCCGTTTGGCCATATCTACATGACAAAGAAGAAACCGTTTAAGCAAAGATATTTTATAAAAACAGACAGACAAGTCTTCAGTGGCCAATGTCAGCTTTGGGGGGGGCGTGTGGCACTCAGTGAGGCAGCCACAGTGTTTGGTCATTGCGCGTGTATTCACCGTTTTTGTTTGTCAACTTGTGGATTGCGCAGTAGTCTGTCTCTAAATGTTGTCTATTGCTTGCTAGTGATGGGGGGAAACGATAGCTGCATATTGGGATATTATTTGACGATATCGCATCGTTTTGACAAGAACGCATTATTACTTTTGCACCAGTCGGTTGTACCTGCACCAAAACTCCAGTATTTCTCCTTCATAGTTTGCCATCTTTTTAAATAGGGAGTCACAATTATCTGTACTTTTATTTCCATGACTGATTAAAACTTGTTTTCTCATGGCTCTTGTCCCTCTGCAGCAGACATATGGTGAGCAATAGGTTTGTATTTATTAAGGATCTTCGCGGGGTCCAGCAACATTAAGGCAGTTATATACACAATTACAAATATTACATGACATCACATTTCATAACACTTTCCACAACCCATTAAGTGTCCTCAGGCCACTGCTCTACTACCACATACCTACAATACAAAATCCATGTGTAAGTGTTAGCACGTGTATGTCTGTGTCTCTTCACAGTCCCATAAGGTGTATTTTTATTTGATTTTTTTTTTTTTAACTGATTCTACTGCTTGCATCAGTTACCTGATGTGGAATAGAGTTCCATGTAGCCATGGCTCTGTGCGCCTCCTATAGTCTGTTCTGTGTACATTTAAGGGCCAGCCGTGCTGCCTTGTTATGAGCCAATTGTAATTTTCCTAAGTCCCTCTTTGTGGCACCTGACCACACGACTGGACAGTAGTCCAGGTGCGACAAAACTAGGGCCTGTAGGACCTGCCTTGTTGATAGTGTTGTTAAAAAGGCAGAGCAGCGCTTTATTATGGACAGACTTCTCCCCATCTTAGCTACTGTTGCATCAACATGTTTTGACCATGACAGTTTACAATCCAGGGTTACTCCAAGCAGTTTAGTCACCACAACTTGCTCAATTTCCACATTATTCATTACAAGATTTGGTTGAGGTTTAGGGTTTCGTGAATGACTTGTCCCAAACACAATGCTTTTAGTTTGAAATATTTAGGACTAACTTATTTATTGCCAAACATTCTGAAACTGACTGCAGCTCTTTGTTGTGTTGCAGTAATTTCACTTGCTGTAGTAGCTGACGTGTATAGTGTTGAGTCATCCGCATACATAGACACTGGCTTTACTGAAAGCCAGTGGCATGTCTTTAGTAAAGATTGAAAAAAAATAAAAGGGGCCTAGACAGCTGCCCTGGGGAATTCCTGATTCTACCTGGATTATGTTGGAGGCTTCCATTAAAGAACACCCTCTGTGTGCTGTTAGACAGGTAACTCTTTATCCACAATATAGCATGGGGTGTAAATTCAAACACAAGTTTTTCCAGCAGCAGACTATGATCAAATAGTCAAAAGCCACACTGAAGTCTAACAAAACATCTCCCACAATCTTTATCATCAATTTCTTTCAGCCAATCAGTCATTTGTGTAAGTGCCGTGCATGTTGAATGTACTTCCCTATAAGGGGGCTGAAAGTCCCCCCCCCCCCAAAAAAAGTCCAAAAGTTTACTAAGAGTTGGTAACAGGCCAATTGGTTGTCTATTTGAGCCATTAAAGGGGGCTTTACTATTCTTGGGTAGCGAAATGACTTGCTTCCCTCTAGGCCTCAGGGCACACACTTTCTTGTAGGCTTAGATTGAAGACATGGCAAATAGGAGTGGCAATATCATCCGCTATTATCCTGAGTCATTTTCCATCCAAGTTGTCAGACTCAGGTGGCTTGTCATTGTTGATAGACAATACTTTTTTCACCTCCTCCACACTGACGTTATGGAATTCAAAATGACAATGCTTGTTTGGAACATCGAAATGTAATAAAATCACATTATCGAATACATATAGAATCGCAATACATATCGTATCGGCACACAAGTATCGTGATAAGACCGTATCATGAGGTCCCTGGCAAACCCCAGCCCTATTGCTTGCAGCACCATATCACCAAGTAAAATTCAGAGTATGTGTAAATGTACTTGGCAAATAAAGGGGATTTTGATTATGTCACTTATTCACCAGTACTTACGCAAAAACTGTACAGTTGTATCCACTTATCACTTCATCCAGAATGGGACAGACAACACTCTTATACACGTCGATTTGCTTTGCAGCTGGACCAAACACCTGAGGGTTTGATAACATGTAACGTTAGGGTGCACATTTTGGAAGAGATGGCCTTCCAACCAAGTAGCTATTGGTGTTAGTCCATTTTAGACAAATAACATTAGCTACATTAGTTACCATATCAAAGGTGTACATCTTCCTAGCTGCCTTGTCGCCAATCCCTCCCGTTCGCACATTGATCTCTTTTCTGTTTTCGACCGTATCGATGACTCCATGGGAGGCAGACTTGCGTTCCGCGTTGTTGAACGGTCTGAAGAAGAAAGGGCAGAGAAGTTAGCGAGACATTAGCGAAGCCAAGTTACAGTGCACATTTTGTTACGTTACAGCCTTATTCTAAAATGGACTCAAATTGTTGTTTTCCCATCAATCTACACACAATGCCCGATAATGACAAAGCAAAAACATGTTTTTAGAAATGTTTGCAAATGTATAAAAAATAAAAAACTGAAATATCACATTTACATAAATATTCAGACCCTTTACTCAGTACTTTGTTGAAGCACCTTTGGCAGTGATTACAGCCTCGAGTCTTCACGGGTATGTCGCTACAAGCTTGGCACACTTGTATTTGGGGAGTTCCTCCCATTCTTCTCTGCAGATCCTCTCAAGCTCTGTCAGGTTGGATGGGGAGCATCGCTGCACAGCTATTTTCAGGTCTCTCCAGAGATGTTCGATCAAGTTCAAGTCCAGGCTCTAGCTGGGCCACTCAATGACATTGAGACTTGTCCCGAAGCCACTCCTGCGTTGTCTTGGCTGTGTGCTTAGGGTCGTTGTCCTGTTGGAAGGTGAACCTTTGCCCCAGTCTGAGGTCCTGAGCAGGTTTTCATCAAGGATCTCTGTACTTTGCTCCTGACTAGTCTCCCAGTCCCTGCCGCTGAAAAACATCCCCACAGCATGGTGCTGCCACCACCATGCTTCACTGTAGGGATGGTGCCAGGTTTCCTCCAGACGTGACGCTCGGCATTTAGGCCAAAGAGTTCCATCTTGGTTTCATCAGAGCAGAGAATCTTGTTTATCACGGTCTGAGAGTCCTTTGGGTGCCTTTTGGCAAACTCCAAGAGGGATGTCATGTGCCTTTTACTGAGGAGTAGCTTCCGTCTGGCCACTACCATAAAGGCCTGATTGGTGGAGTGCTGCAGAGATGGTTGTCCTTCTGGAAGGCTCACCCATCTCCACAGAGGAACTCTAGAGCTCTGTCAGAGTGACCATCGGGTTCTTGGTCACCTCCCTGACCAAGGCCCTTCTCCCCCAATTGCTCAGTTTGGCTGGGCGGCCAGCTCTAGGAAGAGTCTTGGTGGTTCCAAACTTCTTCCATTTAAGAATGATGGATGCCACGGTGTTCTTGGGGACCTTCAATGCTGCAGAATTTTTTTGGCACCCTTACCCAGATCTGTGCCTCAACACAATCCTGTCTCGGAGCTCTACGGACAATTGTTTCGCACTCATGACTTGGTTTTTGCTCTGACATGGACTGTCAACTGTGGGACTTTATATAGACAGGTTTTTCCAAATCATGTCCAATCAATTGAATTTACCACAGGTGGACTCCAATCAAATTGTAATAACAGCTCAAGGATGATCAATGGAAACAGGATGCACCTCAGCCCAATTTAGAGTCTCATAACAAAGGGTCTGAATACATAAATAGTACTGTAATAAGGTATCTTTTTTTTATTTTAAAATTTGACAAAAATTTTAAACCAGTTTTGTCTTGTCAATGTGGTAGTGTGTAGTTGATGAGGAAAATTTTTAGTAATTCATTTAGAATAAGGCTGTAACCAAATTGTGGAAAAACTCAAGGGGCTGAATATTTCCGAATGCTACTATATCTATGTAGTGTGCTTGACATCACCCATGTCCAATGTTTGTATTTTAGGGCCCAAATGGTTATACAGTCTGGTTACTACCTGCATCTCACAACGACTTTGAATATTTCTCCCTTCTCATCCTTTGGCAACATTGAAGTTGTTCGAAGCCATGGTTTGCAGAAGATCTATCTTGCAATTCGTCAACTGTAACAAATAACGTTACCGTTTTTCAATTGAAAAATGCAAATGTTGTATTAGTTAGCGAACATAACGTTGCTGTTACTCTGACTAGTCAGCTACCTACCGTTAATTAACTAGCTATCTACTGTAGCTAACTAACGTAAGCGATAAGCACTTCTATATTTGCTAACATCAGCTTGCTTCGTTAGCTAGCTATGTTACATTAGGCAAGCAATCCAAAATTGTTCTTACCAAATCTTTCCTCTCGGATTACTCTTCAACAATTATCTTGTAGATAGCTTGCTATTTTTGACAAAAACTATTTGATTGCTGGCGCTCTATCATGCGGACTGTGTAGTATTTCAAACAAAACTTTAAATCTTTTCATCCGAGTTCAGCCAATAGCTAAATCGGAACATCTCAAACGCGATTTTATTGGCAGTCTGTGGTCACATGAAAAATGGAGGCGTGATGCATCACGGGAATTTAGCTATAAACTGGGACACACACTTCACAGCGCTAATTTTTTGGGGTCATGGCTAGAAGGGATACCGAGTTTGTGACGTCATAGTACCGTCTGCTCCACTCGCGCCTAAGTCGCTAGTTTCCTCAGGAATTCTCAATGACTAAAACGATGGTGTGTACCACTGCTGGTCTTCAGTATTTTACTAGCCTATAAGCTTTTGAAGAACAGGAAAGGGCCTTCCCCAAACTGTTGCCACAAAGTTGGAAGCACAGAATCGTCTAGAATGTCATTGTATGCTGTAGCGTTAATATTTCCCTTCACTGGAACTAAGGGGCCTAACCCGAACCATGAAAAACAGCCCCAGAACATTATTCCTCCTCCACCAGTTGTCACTATGCATTCGGGCAGGTAGCATTCTGCTGGCATCTGCCAAACCCAGATTCATCCGTCGGACTGCCATGTGGTGAAGTGGGCTTCATCACTCCAGAGAACGCGTTTCCACTGCTCCAGAGTCCAATGACGGCGAGCTTTAGACCACTCCAGCTTATGCTTGGAATTGCTCAGGTGATTTTAGGCTCCCAACGAACAGTTCCTGTGCTGACGTTGCTTCCAGAGGCAGTTTGGTACTGAGTGTTGCAACCGAGGACATACGTCTACGCGCCTCAGCACTCGGCGGTCCTGTTCTGTTTTTAAAGGAACAAATAATAATTAAAGTGAAATCTAAGCAGCCAATGGTTTGGTTCTTTTTGGCATATCTCATGCCATTATCCTATCTTGGTTGGCATTGTGTGATTCAAGCACAGAGTTTCTAAACCCAGAGATGCAATATCGCCAAATTTACGGGAACGCTTGCGAAGCATAATAAACCGACAATGCCTGGGTTTTGGATTTACAAAATCAATGAGAGAAGTAAAAAAGTATTCCTTAGTTGTTAATTTTCTCGAAATCTGAAGGCACAACGTACATTCGAGCCAATGTCTTAAGTAGTTGAACATGTTATTACTCCAACCTCGTGAAAGTGACAAACTGTCACGTTTGAATTTTCGTAAAAAACTACTTTATATCGAAGGAGTGTCTTTGATTTGACGGCCTGCACACGCGCAGTTTGGCGCGAGACTATCATTAGACCCATGACATCGCCTACAAGTGTGATCAGGGATTTCTTTTGGAGAAGCAGTTTCTGCCTATCTTCATACTGTACTGTCTTTGATTCAAGGAAACAACATTTACATGACAAACACTGCATGGAAAGTCTTTTTTTTTTCTCCCCACATTTTGTTACTTTTCCATTCACACAATAAGTCACCTATTTGTTTCAAAAACAGTTGTTTGAAACAAACTGTGGTCAGTACAAATCCATCACTTGTCAATTCAACCATAGTAACAGTGTCTCAATTATTGATTTAAAAAAAAATGTATTGGTGGAAGTTGCAATGTGTTGTAAATTGCCCAAAGATATGGACTTTTTCATACAAATATGTGCTCACAAACAAAATGAGAGAAACACTCTAAAATAACTCATAGATGTTACCCGTCCAACGAAAGTATTTGTTAATACACTATCTATACAAAAGTATGTGGACACCCCTTCAAATTTGTGGATTCGGCTATTTCAGCCACACCTATTGCTGACAGGTGTATACAATCAAGCACCCAGCCATGCAATCTCCATAGACAAATATTACATCCATAAAATGATTAGAAAAATAATAATCCAATTCAGGGAAATTTAAATAATTACTTTGCCACATACTATGCGCTATAAGAATAAGAAGGTAATGATATCAATTAAAACTCTTAAGCTTTTCAAATGTCTTTGAATGTAGAAACCCTGTATGCGGTTCTGTTTTTGTGTTTATCTGTTTGTTTGTGATGTTTACATTATCTATTCATCAGTTCTGTCAACCTACAGACTTGAAGCTGAACAAATAGCTCAGAAATAGCTCAGAACAGAATTTCTGTTATCTCCGTGGGCTACTTGACTGACTGGTGGAGGGAATCTGTGTAAAACTATCATGCCATTTTGACACTCAGCTCATTATCACATTATTTTTTGCATTTATAAACCAGGTGTCATTACAGGCCTGATGGAAACAGAACATTTTTCGGTCAACTTTCCAAGGTGGGATCTTTTTGTGTCGGTTAAATGAATTATGCGAGCAATGGAGGTGGAACGCCTTTATGCACAAATATTGATTTAGTAACCATCATATTGAAGTCAACTTGGAGTCACGCTATGATATGGTGTGTGGTCCTCCCACTACGATTATGGAAACCATGCAGTTTATTTGGCTACAGATGAAATAGCTGGCTGCTGGGCTGCAACCTGGTCTCAGAGCATTTCGTATTATTCTGTACATAAATCTGAGACACTCCATTTAGTATGATATGTTACATATGGTATTACGTATGGTATGTATTAATGTGTGGATGTCATTCACCCATTTCATACAATATGTTCCGAATTACAATTAGTATTAAATATGTTACAAATTTGCAAAAGGTACAATATGTTGCGAATTTTCAAAATGTATGATATGTTACAAATTCTAGATAGGTCCCTAATGTTAGATAGCTGGCTAACGTTAGCTACTCTCAGGGTTAGGGGTTAAGGTTAGGGGTAAGTTTAGGAGTTAAGTTAAAGGGTTAAGGTTAGGGCTAGCTAAAAGGGTTAGGGGACGGGTTAGCTAACATGCTAAGTAGTTGCAAAGTAGCTAAAAAGTAGTAAGTAGTTGAAAAGTTGCTAATTAGCTAAAATACTAAAGTTGTTCGTGATGAGATTCAAACTCACATCCACCCCGACCAGCCACCCTAATTTCGTTTTTGCCTTAAGTAACCATCTGTCTAATGTAACCATTCCAAATGTAACATATCATACTAACTTTTCTGTGACTAATCTATGTTATGTCTAGTGTATGAGACCAGGCTGCAACAATTTATGATATACTTCACAGTGTGGTGAAAGCATACGGTGATCTTGATGCTCCTTTCCTCTTGATGCTCCTTTCCAATAAATATCTAGGGTCTGATTGTGGTGACATAATGATCAATGCTTGACAAATACAAATATTCTGTCTCTTATCCATAGTAACCTCATCATGTAGACAAACCTACACATTTTAATAATTTAGCAGACGCTCTTATCCAGAGGGATTTATAGTTAGTGAGTGCATACATTTTTTTCTTCTTCATACTGCCCCCCGTGGGAATCGAACCCACGACCCTGGCGTTGCAAGCGCCATGCTCTACCAACTGAGCTACACGCACTGTATCTGCGAGCTGTTGGGTAGAGCGCATGTGCCAAGACCAGAGTAGGCACATTTGGAATGTACTATTTAACCCAACCGTTTTTGTGACAAAACTATCGGTAGAGTTGAAAATGCGATGGAAACACATTGTGCTTAAGTTTCCATGTATCAAATAAAACTCTAAAGTGAAAAAGGTCATTTTATGTTCACGACGTCATCACGCACTGTTTCTTTTAATCTGCAACAAGTAGGGGTGGCAACACCGCTGGTGGAAAAATTCGCATATTTTATTTATTCGGATTTTAGAATATTCACATGAAAATTTGTCGCCAATTTGATGGAAACCTAGCTATAGAAACACAATATGAGCCATTTAAGGAGCACACTTCCATACAGTGCCAATATCCTTAGATGGAAATTTAGAAGGTCGTCATACAGCTATCCTATTGAGGTAGTGCACTGGACTGGTGAAGTGTACTGGTGAATACAAAAGCCTAGTCTCTGTGCTTAATTAATGCAATAAACATCAGCAGGAAAATAACACATCCTTCTGTGCTTGCTCATGAATTTACTTTCAACTGAGTTTTTCTTGAGTTTGTCATGTCTGACTGTTGAAATACAACATGATTATGAATAATAGAGAAAATAGATTGGAAAATCCAAATTAGACAACAAGGGACAAGATGTATAAGACTGTATGCTTGATATAATTGTTTCCAATAATCAATTGTTCTAGTATTTGATCATGTTTTCCTACGATAAGGTAAAATAACTAGCTGTGAGTCAATGAAGTTCTGCCATGCACCTCTATCAACAGATGTTTTTCTTTACTTGCCAAGTGAAACCTCCTCTCCCTGTAGTGTTTGTCTCATATTTTATGACATGACGCCACCCATCAACCTTGCAGAGCAGTCATCCATCTCCTGGGGGGCATCTACCCACTCATCCTAGTAGGGAGGGGGTTACTCCCTCGTGTGCCTCTTTCTCTCTCACACACACGTACACACAATTTTCCTACCCCAGTGTGATTATTCAGCAATTAAGCACTTTCTAAAACAATCTGAACCTGTGTTTTTTAAACGGTGGCAAAAAAGGGCAACTCGTTTCAGTCTTCATTGGTCACACACAGTCCACTGATTTCCTCACTTTTAGTACAAGAATAAACAAAATATCTAGGTAATCAAAAGGGGCAAAACTAATAAAAGCACATTGCATGCATCTTCTGTGTTTTTCCTATCCAAAATCACATAGGCACCTGATAGAGGATTTGAAGAGAATGAGGGTATATCAGTACATGAACACATAGCCCAATTATAATGGAGCTCATCTGAAATGGAGGAATCTAAAACTGTATTCTTTGGATATGAATCCTTCATAGATGGTTGCTGGGTCTCTGAGATGAGCCTCTCCTGGAGTTTCATCGTCATGAGCGCAGCTGTCCCCCAGGCCACGCCCCAGGCATTGGGTTTGAGTGACCCAAACACCTCTGGTTCCTCCGATCAAAGAGACCTTTTCAATTACAATCTGCTCGGTCTAACAAATCCACTTCATTATCATAACAGTTTTAACTGCGAGGGTGGAAGCAAAGTGAAGTGGGAACAATCCTATTGTTTCTTTTTCCATCAGTGAAAGGAGTAAGACTCTAGTTGGTAACTTTGGTTGATCAGACGTTAGGGGACTGCCACAGCAGAAGCATCTCTCTCTCTCCATCTATCTGAGGCCCTGCTACCACTGTCTCAGGGGCTATTACAGGTAAGCAATCGAGGGGCTATTTCATGTGTGTGTGTTTTTTTTCTTCCTGTTTTCTTGAACATGCAGAAATCTTAGGGCCAGTTTCCCCAGACACAGATTAAATGTAGTCCTGGACTAAAATGCTATGAAGATTCTCAATCTGTGTCCAGGAAACTGGCCCATAGTAACAGTATCGTTGTTTTTAAGCTTGTAAAAAAATATGTAGACTAGATAACTTTCAAAATACACATGTAATCAACAACTTTACAATAAATACCCTATATGTAAACTGTTTGTTATGAAATGAAGGTAGTATCATCAGGATCTATTACAAATACAACTCACTCTTGACGAAGCACAGTATGTTACTGTACACATACTACTTATCACGAGTGCCACTATGTATTGGTAGGCTGCATGGTAATAGTCTATAATTTGGATGTTGTAGTTTATTGATGCTCAAAATACTAGACAAGCAATCAGGCCTCAATTTCACAATAGAGGGTTCTGAAAGTAAGTGTAAAAGTAAGTGATGTACAATAACAATACAGTACTATAAATTATTGATGCTGTAGTGTAAAGTAATTCTTAAAACTGCTGTTTGTGATTTGAAAGATTCTAGTCAGAGGTGATTCAAACACATCTAGACATAACTTCATCCCATTTGCAATAAGTGCATTTATGAATGGATATTCTCTGGTCTGTTTTTAATATATAAGAAAGCTTACTGCAAACCTCAAACATGATATCTTTGGCATGTATTACCTATTTGACAAAAAAACAACACAATAACAAAGAAAAGCCTATATCAGCCTAGTGTTATAAAACAAAGATCCATATAAACAAAAACCACACATGACATTTGATTAATCGTCATGCAGGGGTCTCCAGACCCCTAGGTGACACAGGCATAAGCGACACAAAACGCCCTCCTCTAAATCCCACTCAATGTGGCGGGGCGTGGGCGTGGGGTGCAGGGAGGGCACCATTCCCCACGGAGGCACACTGTGCAGCCTAACGGCCGGACACTGGCCCTGGAAAAAAACCCATCTGCCTGAGGGAGGCGGCATTCACACAATACACTAACATTTTTGTAACTGTGGGTGTTAAAAAGGGAACTTAAAAAGGGATTCATTTCCCCCGCTGCAAGGGGAAAGGGGAGTTAGGGAGGGAAGACCGTTCCTAAACCAATCACTAGTCATTGTGATGTCATATTTAAGTAGGTCTATCATTTTTAGGTGGACAAGTTGTTGCCTGTGTTATAGGCAATATGGAAAAGCCTATGGACAATTGTTTTTGTGTTTCCTACATAGACATATATGCTATAACAAATTACATACGCTAGCCTATTGTGGCATATGTTGAAGGTTTCACAAATATGAATACACCTAGAAAGTATGATGTCAATAGGAACGTGTCAGACACATTTTGCATAAGAAAGACCAAAGATCATCCCCATTATAAGGAGACGGTGTCCCCTGTGACAGAATAGCAATTAGCTCTACTTGTGTAAGGAGCAGTCTCATTACCTGTGTGTCATAGTGGACGTGCAGGCCTTGAGACAGTGTTTAAAGGGCTTCCCCTTGCTTTATTATTAACTGCCACAGCCCTTGGATCAAAAACCCTGTCACATGTATGCCTACAGACATCAGCCATATGTCATTTACACTGAATGAGGGCAGCCTGATGAGAAGAGAGGAAGGGGTTACTGTGACACAGCGTCCCAAGATGATCCCTTCAATACAGTGGGAGGTTGAGTAGTTGCAGAGATATGTCATACATACCATCAGTCCATACACCTTGGCAACCCCTAACTCAAGAATGATTAATAGCCTAATGACCCTCCTGTTCACTGGGTACACATGGTCCAACTTTATGTGGTGATGTGAAGCATATGCCTTATAAAGCATTCTAAAGCATATGCCTTCATAAATGTTTTGTTTACCCTACACTGATTTCCCCCCAAAAAATGTTTTAGGTAGCTATAGCACTTCGACCAATTCAAGTTTCAATTGTTGCACAATGTTAGCACAGACTATTGAATGACAAATGGCTATATAGAATTATGATTAATATACTTCATATTTTTGTTACTTAATCAACTGAACCAACTTTCTTCAGGAAAGCTTTATTCTAAAGAACTGTGTGCCAAACCTCCTCCAGGAAGTCGCTCGTCTCATATACCTATGTGTGGGCTTCTTCCTTCCCATGACTCGATATTTCATGTACGCAATTTACCGGATGTATTCGATAGAACGGGATGTCATCATTACACCAGTTGAATCCGTTTTTGGTGAAGTGTTGCCGGGTTCCTGTAAGTTTTTGGCAGCATGACGATTATTATATAGACAATAAAATGGGAAATAAACTACATGGTAATATTTACTAAACTGAACCAGGGTAACAAAAAACATGCAAAAAGAAAATAAATGTTGGTAATGTATTTTTTAAATTAATTGACAAGTGTTCTTTGATGTCGTAATCAAGCTTGAGGCCTAATCCTAGCTCAACCTTTTCCCTTGTTTAACTACCAAGTCCTTGTATGGTCAGTGACGTTAAGGGACATTAAGAGACTCCCTTCAAATTCATACTACAATCTTCAATCCCCAGAATACAACGATATTAGATTATATTTCTCATCCGTAGGGGACACTATAGGCTATCGCAGAGAATACATCATTAGATAGTTTTTACCAAGACAATTTGACGGTTATATATTGAGTGCGTAAAGGCACGTAAAGGTTTGAAGCGCACACTCTTGGTAAAACAATTACAGCTAAAACTATGGATAAAGTTTGGGTACCAATCGGTGGTTTTATACACGACATTTACGAGGGAATCTACTCAATGGAAGAGGAAATATCCGCATCATTGCCAGAGACGGTAACTAGGCCAATTAGGTGAAGCTGAAGTGGGTAAGAATTAATTTAATATAAAGAATAATTATTTTGAAAATATTCGTTTCTAGTTCGCTGCTATGGTCAATAGAAGGGAAGCCATGTTTTCTCATCAACCTTACTGGAATTTCAGGATTAAAATGCATTATTAGTCATATTTGAGATTATCGTAAATTGAGGCGAATAATACAAATTATTGGTCAATATTAATCAAATAGATTCATTGTCTGCTATAGTAAGCCAATTTATTTTTTCTAAAGCGCTATGTGACATTAAATCTCATTCGTACTCATTACAAAATCACAAATTGGTGCGCAACCGTGCGCAAAACCCATGCGTAAAATTAAAAACCTGTGGGTAAAAGTCATAATCAACGTTTTTTTGGCCACATAACTAACAGTACTTTTTCTTTGCTTCGCAGGTGATCGTTTGAGTGAAGAAAGTGACAATATCGAGTTGTCTTGCCAGGGCAACTTTACGCAGCCCCCGCGCACTCAGGCTGTTGCATACAAGGACACTGCAATCCCGGGGGCTTCATTAACGTAGTTAGCGATATAACGGCGGCAGCTTCGTCCCCGGTGTTTGCCTCGCCCTCGCCTGAACCACAGAACCTTTACGCAGGAACTGTGAGCTGCACCATGGCGCAGAGTCAACACGATATAAACCACATGTATGCTCCAACGTCTTACTCTTGTAGCAGGGAAATGTACCAGGACCAATCAACCTACCTGGCAACGTCGACCTGCCCCATGTCCTACCCACAGCCGTCCCACTCCTACACGTCACCAAAGTCGACAGTGGACAGCACGCTCTTAACCATCATGCCTGAGTACAGCGGGTTCTACCAGCCAAACTGCCAAAGGGACATCCAGGCTTTTCCTGACAGGAAAGGGTTACCATATTCACTGGACTCTCTGAGGGTTCCACTACCTCTGACACCTCTGAACACAATAAGGAATTTTACACTTGTGGTACCTGCGACAGAGGGCCCTTGTCTACCCAATCCCTACAACACTCCGAATGTACCCCTGAGGCCAATACCGAGACCGAGAAAGTATCCAAACCGCCCAAGCAAAACGCCTGTCCATGAGCGACCATACCCTTGCCCGGCAGAGAGTTGCGATAGGAGGTTCTCTCGGTCGGACGAGCTGAGCAGACACGTCAGAATCCACACAGGGCACAAACCCTTCCCATGTCGGATCTGCATGCGCAGTTTCAGTCGCAGCGACCACCTCACTACGCACATTCGCACACACACTGGAGAAAAACCATTTTCCTGCGACCACTGTGGAAGAAAGTTTGCCAGGAGTGATGAAAGAAGGAGACACACGAAAATCCACTTAAGACAGAAAGAGAAAAAGTCATCATAATGACCCTGGTAGAGATTGGTTGAACATTCATCCACATTATGTTTCCATGCAGTCCAAAAATAATTTAATAATATCCAAATCACATTCACACTGAATTTAGCAGACATGGTTAACTAGGGCGACTAATGAATGTGGATATAAGGTGCTGAATGAATAACGACATAAATGGACAGGGCTATCACGTGTATATTATTGAAGTTAGGCATAGAGCCAATTAGTCATAACTTAACTGTAAATGTGCACAAACACTAGTGCTCAGGATAGAAAGTGTTTCAATAGAGTAAGTGAGGAAACAGTCACAGAGATGCTGAATAGCAGGCAAGGAGTAAGATTCAGCTCCAATACTAACGGGTACCAGCCGACAAGTAGCTTCTCTTTCGCAGTGTTGAAAGAGCAGCTGAAAAAAAAGACTATACCACAATAGATTAGTCCATGATGGGCATCCCTGCATTTTATCTGGGAAAGGAGTGCAATGACCAATATCACAGAGCCTAGAGGCCTGTTCTGTTCTGCTGAGTATCATCACCGTTCTGAGTGGAGGCTTGATTCCCACGTGTGCATAAACTGGAAGCCTTGTACAGTGTCTGTCAAGAGAGACAATTAAATGAGTTGATTAACCTTCTGTTTGTTAAAGACTGCTAAAGTTAACTTTTTAAAATCTCCTCTTACTTGTTGGATGAAGATGACAGAGTAACAAAAAATTGATGCCACTCAGCCTCTCGGCTGTAAGATCATTACAGAACTTAACAAAGGGGAAAGACTTTGATACCTTTATTTTACATGCATCATTTTACATGTTTTTTTTTACACACTGAGCATTGATATTTAACTGACTTGATGCTTCTTATGATAAATGTAGAATATGTTGACATTGGTGGCATAAAGAAAACTGCTTGTTTGTTAGTGTGCTTGTTCATTGTTTTACAAATGTATTCTTAATTAGCCTAGTCCAAATTAAATGACTGGGCAAAGGACATGGTTGATTATTTTAAACAACAATGAAATCCACTTTGTGTTATAGAATATGTATTGTTGTCTTATTTTGGTCCTTTGAAAGTAGGCTATAGGCCAGGGTTCTTCAATTCCGGTCCTGGAGGGCCGAAACACCTGTTTTTCATCCTCTCCTTCTAATCAGGGGCTAATTCAGACCTGGGACACCAGGTGAGTGCAATTAACTACCAGGTAGAAATAAAAAACAGAAGTGTTTCGGCCCTCCAGGACCGGAATTGAAGAACCCTGCTATAGGCTATTGCAGGACTGCCCAACCCTGTTCCTGGAGATCTACCGTCCTGTAGGTTTTTGCTCCAACCCTAGTCTAGCACACCTGATTCTAATAATTAGCAGGTTGATAAGATTAATCAGGTTAGTAAGACCTGGGGTTGGAGCAAAAACCTACAGGAACAGGGTTGGGCAACCCTGGGCTATTGTATATGTTGTATGTATGCAGTTTTCTACTAGTCACATTGTCATTCTGAGGTAATACTCAGTATGTCCACAAGAGGCCCCTAAACCACAAGCAAAGAATTCAATGGTGCTCTGCTCCCAAATTGATGAATCAAGCAAAGTTATTATGGGGTTTAATTGGTGAAGTTCAATTAACTAAGCAATGTTTAAGATGGTCATTCAGTAACAAAATGTCCACAGGAAAGTATTGTTTACCAAACTATTTAGAGAGCTGGTAGGTATATGGTTCGGTTTGGCACAGAGGTCAAGTTAGACAATGAAAATGGTATATTCTGAATCAGAGGAAGATGGAGAACAATGTACAACATTTTTATTTTTTGAAGGCTTCAAATCTGAATAAATAAATAAAAAATCTCCCAAAAAGGTGTGGATCGTTCTCCATCCTCTCGATTCAGAATATAATTTTAATTGTCATGGCATGCTTGGTTCAACATCTATTGACTAAATAAAATTGAATATCCAATATAAAACTAATTTTATCTCAGTGCAGAACTGAACACTATACCTTCCAGCTCTTTAACAAGTTGGGAAAACAATATTTTCCTGTGGATATTTTGTCTAAAATCTCGAGCAGCTAAAGATCAAACCGCACAGACAACCGGTAGAGTAATTTTATTCAACATTCTGGCTTGTAAGGAACATTTACACGATTCTTCAGGCATTAGTTTCAGGCTGAATATACCAATTAATTGTGTATTACAGCCTACCCCATTTAGTGCATTCTTGAATCCCTCTTTATGCTTTTCTTCTGAGAAATGTTATGTTTTGTTATGTATGGTTTCAGTTAATTTCAGGACATGATAAGCTTGGTGTCATTTCGAATACATTAGAGATGATGTGCAAAGATCACAATTTATCAACTGAGTAAGTACTTTCATTACAGGCAAAATGCATAGTGACAGGCCACACCAACTGACGAGACGATTGTGAGCATTTGCCCAAATTTAGAATAAGTGCTTTTAGTTCACACTACATGTTCTCCCATTACACACCAGTGACAGTGATATCCATTCCATAATAATCCATCATTGTAGGAATTATGACTATCATACATTTACACAATGTTGTGACATGGCCCTGAGAATCAATGGTTCACATCAATTCAGCGTTCATAGTGCGCTTCAGATGTTGACTTCTGGGCCGGGGTAAGGTTCACCACCACACCAAAAATCAGAAGGTTGCGGTCCTTCCACGAGCCAAACTTCTTTTTGCCCCTGAGCCTCAGCCTTTTTGTCCTCCGAGTCCGAGGCAGACTCCAGAACTTTGTAATAATGACAGTCTCTCCCGTCATCTGGATCATATGGTGGTGCCAGAATATCGAGGAAAGCAGTGGGTCCATCGACTGCGTCGATTTGGTGAAGGTTGTCTAAGTCAGGGGTCAAAATACACGGGCCACTCTCTTCTGTAAACTCCCCGACCGACCGGAGTATTGACCTCAGCGCACCTCTCTGGTAAGGTAGTAGGGGAGGGTTGAATTGCGTGTCACTGGCCACGCTAGTTGATTTGTCCAACCTGTCAAAACAGGTGATCCTGACCTTGCCATACATAACTTTTAACATGCCGTACATTCCCGGGTGGTCGTGCAAGGGGATGGAAGCACCGCTCTTTAGCAGAAACACCCCCATGCTGAATTGGTCTGTCTCGCATATGTGCATGTATGTGACCGGGGGATTGTGTGACAGAGGCGTAGAAGCGCTGTCAACTTTCCTTGGAGCAATCTTCAGATCCGCAGCTCTGATTTCGGTCATGAGGCTTTGGAGTTTACCTTGATTATCCAAAAACGCTTTATCACCTACCAAAGATGGGTTTCTAAAAGTTACAAGCGCCTGTCTACCAATTTTCTGAACGAGGGAGGTGGTCATGTTGTCGCGAGGCATCATAAAGCCCGTGAAGTGCTGTCCTGTAATTCCACACTAGTCTCGCGTTTGCTAACTAGCGTTTAGCAGGCTGGGCTCCAAGCACAGCTGCCGTTGATTCTGCCTGCCCCTCTCTCGGTGAGAATGATTGATTACACCCGGTGAAATATATTTTCCAACTTCACATAAAAATAACAAAAACTGAAAGTCGAATACAGTTTTAAGTTAGGGGTACTCTGTCTGACACAACCACACATTTCTCTCCAACTCCCCATTTACGGATATCTTTCACACACGTCCGCAAAGAAAACGCTTCAGTTCGTAAAGCGGAGCATTGTGGGAAATGTGGTTTAATAATGTACTGTTGGTATTTATCTTCACTCAAACACATCGCTATTAGATAAAAATATAATGCATATGAAATATGTATGATATTTGTTATGATACTGTGTTCAATTACAAGTCTAACATTTAATATCATTGTGAGCGATAATAATAGTACTTACTTATGTACTACAATAACCAAGATACCATTCCTCACCTCCTTAATTAAAGGGGAACAGCAGTGAGTTTGTTGACCTTTTTAGACTTGAGTACTGATTCTGGACCATACAGAGTGCAGCAGTGTAGTATGAGTAGGCCTACCATATAAGACTAAACTCGTTTATTATTCTATCAATTGAAAGAATGGTAGGACTTTCTCTGAAACATAAGAGGGTCTATCAATCTCACCCAGCAGCAAGCCCAATGTACATTTTAATTTGAGTCATTTAGCAGACACTCTTATCCAGAGCAACAAGAGTTAAGTGCCTTGCTCAAGGGCACAACAACAGATTTTTCACTTAGTCGGCTCAATGATTCAAAGCAGCAACCTTTCGGTTACGCTCGTAACACTCTTAACCACTAGGCTACCTGCCATCTCAATGTATGTTAAGGCAGCCTAATTTCCTTTAACAATTTGGGCACCAAAAAAATTCTTCATGAATCATGTGTGACCTGTCACGGAAGCTATTTTGCATGTTATCTAAAAAGAGTGACAGATGGTTCCACATTTGGTAATCGCTCCTCATCAGGTTGTTTTTCTGTTATCTTTTTCCACAATTCTTCATCATCACACACACACACACACACACACAAAGGATACACTCGTGCAGGAAATGACACAAACGCCCCTGTCCATTCCCTTGTTCCTCTTCTTCTTGGCTCCCAGTTCAGTGTATTTCTGCTACAGATAATTTGAGGCATAGCCTAACCACATTATAAATGTGTTTTGCACCCTTGATTAATTAGGTGGGCTCCTGTGAGATACAACTGGATGGAAGCAGGTGGAAACTCTGGAGCTAAATTGAAAGAAAAGCTTAGCAAGAAGCATAGCTAAAGCAAGAGGACTCTGTCCTGCCTCCTTAATTCTATTGTGGTGTTTCTGTCCAAACAAAACAAATAAGATTTCTAACTGCAAGAAGCTGTTTATTTGTGGCCTTGGTTCGCCAGCAAACCCCACATACCACTTGTATATTTATCACTGTGTCTTAGAAATTCCTCGAGAGCAGCAGTAGTATCTTTGAAAACATCATTGAGGTTGTATGCTGCGGGGCCTGCAATGAGCTGTGGAGCACTCCTCCATCACTCAGGGAGTCAGCTTGATTTCTTGTGAAACAGCAATATGGTAATAGGGCATTG